TATATATATATATATATATATATATATATATATATTACGGATGCAACAATACAGTTAGCCTACGGTTCAATACATACCTCGGTTTTATAACAAGGTTTTCTGTTCGGTTCAGTTCTCATGGTTTGATGCGTTTTTTTTTAATCCTATAGGCAATAGGAACAGTAAGAGGTTAAGGAGAAAAAAATAAAAACGATTTATTGCAATACTCATTTTGTTTTACTTGAAAGCCAAGTAAAGCACACTAGTTCCTAGTGTATTGTATAAAAATAAATTTACATTGAAATCTCACAGCTGCTGGTAGCCCATGTACAAACTGGGAAACACATCAAATCCTACATAAATAAACATACGTGAAGTTAATAAAGATAAATTGGCCATTTCAAATCAAATTTGAAGGGCTTTATTACCTTCTCTGCTATCCTGCCTTCAGACAGTGATATTGCTGGGTGATGGCGCTGCAGATGTGCAGTCATGGTTATACTAATGCTTGCACAGTTAATTTTTTGTTTACCGTTTTTTTTTTTTTATTGGCTTTATACTTACCGGGAACATCGAAATGTCCTCACATCGCAGATTTGAAAGACGCCAGCACTTTATCGTACTGTTGTCTCACTACGCTGGCGCTTCCTTGTACTGTTGCCTCAGCCTCACTTCACCGCCGCTCGCAATGTTAAAGTGTGGAATGATGGTCAAGCGCCCCCTAACTTTAGAGCATAGTGATTGGATATTTACTCGCGAGGAGGAGTTTCCTCATCTCAGATCATGGACTTACAGGCACACACAGTCAGTTCGGGGAGATATAAAACGCACTCAAATTATTAAATGTAAAACCGAGAAAACCGCAATTTACAAGCACATATTGAACCATGGAGGTCGTACCAAACGGTTCAATATTATATTGAGAACCGTGGGATCCCTAATATATATACAGTTGAAGTCAGAATAATTAGCCCCCTTCAAAAATTTTTTTCTTCTTTTTTTAAATATTTTCCAAAGGATGTTTAACAGAGCAAGGAAATTTTCACAGTATGTCTGATAATATTTTTTCATCTGGTGAAAGCCTTTTGTTTTATTTCGGCTAGAATAAAAGTAGTTATTAATTTTTTAAACACTATTTTAGGGACAAAATTATTAGCCCCTTTAAGCTATATTTTTCCTCGATAATCTACAAAACAAACCACTGTTATACAATAACTTGCCTAATTACTCTAACCTGCCTAGTTAACCTAATTAACCTAGTTAAGCCTTTAAATGTCACTTTAAGCTATATAGAAGTGTCTTGAAAAATATCTAGTCAAATATTATTTACTGTCATCATGGTAAAGATAAAAACAATCAGTTATTTGAGATGAGTTCTTAAAACTATTGTTTAGAAATGTGCTGAAAAATGTTTCTCTCCGTTAAACAGAAATTGAGGAAAAAATAAATAAGCGGTCTAATAATTCTGACTTCAACTGTATAAATATATATATATATATATATATATATATATATATATATATATATGTTTTAAGAACTCAGCTCTAATAACTGATTTTACTGATTTGGATTTTCATTTGCCAGAATTGCCAGATGGCCAGTCCGCCCCTGCTGGATAAGTTGGCTGTTCATTCCGCTGTGGCGACCCCAGATTAATAAAGGGGACTCAGCCAAAAAGAAAATGAATATATTAAACAAATTAAGGAACCATTTCTGATTAACAGTGTTAAAAAAATAGTATCCGTTTATTATTAGAGGTCCAACTTGTTGGTTCGTTACTGCATAGAATGCAAAACTAAACACTAATCTTTCCCCCTTTAAAACAAATTCAAAGAAAGCACACGCTTGATGAAAGGCTTAATTTGCAGTAGGGTATAAATAGCAGAGTCAGCAAATGAAACTGCTGTTGACCGGATTTATAAGACTAACGGAGGGAGGCATTCAAAATTCATTTCACCTTGCACCAAAGCAGACGGAGCACTCTTACGATTCAGCTAATTTCCCAGCCGCCATAAACAATCATTCACATTCAATGTAATCCTCCATAAGGAATTTATTAGGGTGGCTTTTACAATGCAACAGTAACTTGCAGAAAACATGGACTGAAAAAAAAAACATTTAATGACAGAGAATGACTAAAAACAATATGCATGATACACCATATTGCTAGTATTATACCACTTACTATTCAGTTACAAAAAAAAAAGTATGGGAAGAAGGATTTAAGCCTGAAGTTTGACAGAGAAAGTGTCTCACTCCTTCCTGCGTTTCTTCTCATGGTCATAGTCCTTGGAGCGCCCACTAGTGGACGCTCTTTTGGAGCCTCCGTGCTGCTTGGCTTCCTCCAAGAACTTGTCCAGACCGAAAGGATCCTCCTCAAACTGTACAGGACCATCCCGGCGGGGGCCATGGTCAGCACCTGAGAAGTCTCGGTCGGGAACAAACCTGAATAGAGAGAGAAATACATAAATTAACCAAACACCAATCTTTTACGATACTACCCATATGCAAAAAAACATTCAAAAGAGCATAAACATGTTAAAGAGTACCTATCATTTATTACTTTTCACAAGATGTCCAATAAGTCTATGATTTCCCTAGAATGTGTGTGAGGTTCCAGCTCAAAATACCCAACAAATAACTTTTATATATCTTAGAAACTGCCCCTTTGAGGGTTTGATCCTAAAGGCTCATTTTCACCGACTGGTACAGTACGTTACGGTTCCGATAGGTACGGTTCACCTTTGTCAGGCTTGCATATCTACTACCAAGGGTCCCCTTTTGGTGGGCTTACGACAGAAAGTTTAAGTCAACGTCATTCTCACTCGAATTAATGTCTACAGTAAAGCCGTACAGGTCGTTCACAGATCATATGAGAAGCACTTCTCACAAAACATATAAATAATCTGCATATTATAAATATGCAGATCAAACTGAATACAATCTTACATCAACTACACAGGGTGAGCAACGAGTTGATGAGAACAAATAATCATATTGGATTTCAAAAAACCCAACCTATGCTTTGAACATAAAAAAATGCTTTTCTTGCTTAGATTTTGTCTTGTCTCTAGTCTAAATATCTAAAATTTCTTATATCAAGAAGCATTTTCTAGACAAGCAAAACATATCGTCTTGTTTTGAGAAATAATATGCCAATAATAAGTGAGTTTTTCCTTAAAACAAGCAAAATAATCTGCCAATGGGGTAAGCAAAATAATCTTTTTTTCCTTAAAACAAGCAAAATAATCTGCCAATGGGGTAAGCAAAATAATCTTGTTTTTTCTTTTGACGTAAGATTATTTTGCTTACCCCATTGGCAGATTATTTTGCTTGTTTTAAGGAAAAACTCACTTAATATTGGCATAATATTTCTCAAAACAAGACAATATGTTTTGCTTGTTTAGAAAATTCTTCTTGATTTAGGAATTTTCAGATATTTGGACTAGAAACAAGACAAAAAAATCTAAGTAAGAAAAGCTTTTTTTGCATACGCAGCGCACATGAATAGAAAAAAATTATTAAAAAAAACGAAGGGTCTGACAAATGACTATGTGTCAGCATAGTGGTAGATTCAAACGCAGTTTTAACATCCTATCCCAATGAGGGAGAGATCATCACTAATGGGTGAGGCTTTCCCACTCTGATGACACATACAAAGAGAGAATGTTAGTGAAAGTGTTTCTGCAGACTGTTTTTATGAAGTGTGATCATAAAATATAAAAATCATATACATTTTTACCATGAGAAACTAGTTACATGAACAGAATGTTGCCACACAACTGTTTAATGCTCTTATAAAAGTATTTTTTGCATAATAGGTTTCCTTTATTGTTCCTTTAAAAAAATATTTTTATTTTGGTTTTGTCTGTAGTTAAAGTCAAAGTGCCACTGTACCTGTTGTTCTGCATGAGTGTGTCCAGGTCATCTCCATACATGTCTTTATCCACATTCTTACTGGGCCTGTAAATATTCTGTGCCATGTCTCTGCCACCTCTGAAGGGCTGATCGTACACATTATACATCTCATCCTCTCCCCCAGCAAAACCGCTGTCCATTCCCTGAAAAACACAAACAACGAGTTTCAAACCTACTGGAAGCACAGCTATGAAACATACATCATGCAGTCATACACGATTGCTGAAAGTAGATATTTTAATTATGATATTTTCTAAATTTGCTGAGATTTGGGCAAAAATAAAGGTCAGTACAATCAATTTATAATTTCGTATCCTTTAGTTGAATCATTAAGATGTTAATTGACATCAAAATATTTAAGTCAAAACATAATATTCAGTGGAGATTGATGTAGACCTGAATTTGACGCCATCCAATATTTAACTGAAAGATATAAAACAGGCTTTAAAACTAAAAAGGTCAAGATACGAAGACAGATAAAGATTTTGGGCAGGGTATTTTTATGCACATTTTCCTGCACAAGCCGGTTCTATAATCAGTAGTAAATCTCAAGCATATGCTTTCCAATGTAGCATAATTTGCTACACAGGGTCCTATGTTGTATCCAAAATCACCACTATGTCTTCATTCACTACTCGCTCCATTAATCCACTAATATAGTCCACTTGAAGGAGTGAATGAAAAAGAGAGAATGAATTAGAGCAGTGGTTCTCAAACTGTGGTACGCGTACCACTAGTGGTACGCGGGCCTCCTCCTAGTGGTACGCGGAGGAATCGCCAAATAATGAAAGAAACAATTAACACTTTTAATCCTTTAATGCGTAATATAACATCGATGTGATCAGCATTGGCTGTTTTGTGAAGCGTATGATCACAACGCTGTGCTTAGAGTGTTTACTTTAGTGCTTTGTGACATAAGCTGCTGAAAATCAGTTTCCGAAGTTTAAGAATTGATTCTGAAGGGTGATTTGACTGACATGAAACGTAGCCAATCACAGTCCACCTTTTCTAGTCGCGTGAAACGTAAGGGCGGGACAAAGGCTTTCTGTGTTGCAGAGACAGAAAAAACAACTTAAAAACAAAAGTTTTGTTGGAATAATGCTTCTCGGATGTTTTCACTATAGAGATGTCTAGCAGAGTAATTAAACCGCGGACATATTTCCTGCCTTTTTGATTATCTACATACACGTTTCGCTCTCCGACAGCCAGTTGACTCGCCTCTGACCTGTCACTCCTCTAAATACATTCTGAATGGCGGCGCAGGAATGGAGGTATTGCTCAATTACTCATTTCTGCAAATGTGGCGAGTGCTTTATTTTAACACGAGAGAGCGCATTCATGTACGCAAATCGCTAAAACATATATGCGAGCTCTTAAATAGGCTTTTTTTCAAATGAACTGCAAGTCCTCTCATGATCACGTGTGTGCTCAGATTGAATACAATCGCGATCTCCACTATTAAAGTAGACATTATTTATCTTTGCTCCTTGACTAAATTTAGTCAAAAGTATTCAAAGTTATCAAGTATTTAGAATTAGATTGATGCATGATCGATGACATTGCAAATTGTCTTCTTATTTGGCTGTGTTGTGAAGTGAAACTTACTTTTAGCAAAGGTGGAACTTATTTTTTTACGACAAAATAAATATGCTGGAAATGTTTCTGGATGAGGTATTTGTGTGATTTATACATTTAGCTGTATTCTGATCTGTGTTAAAGCATTACAGGTTAAAACAATTCGTTGTTACTTATTGTTTATTTATCAAAATTAACAATAAGGCTCTTAAAACACTGCGTTGATAAATGTAGTGTTGTCATATTTCAAATACCTCAAATAAAATGAAGTCATTTGTTTTATTTTTTTACTGAAAGTGTACTTGTATTTATTTTTTTTGTATTTTAGATTAAGATCAAGTGTAAAATAAAATCTACATGTGATGTACAGCTATTTAAGAAACAAATTTGACATATTGTAAAGAAAAATAGTGTAAAATATGTAAATAAAAGGCTAAATTTAAATATTTTTACCATATACTTTAATTAAACCTTTCAAAGCTTGAAAATATTGTTTAAAAAATGGGCAAAAAGTGTCTCTATGGCCTTAAAGTTTATTTGGTAGTTTTGCCAGTGCTATTGAAAAAAAGATTAATTGTCATGAAAGGAAAAATCAACCATACTTCCTTTGTTAGTGCAAATTCCTATCCATGTAGCTTTGAGATTTAAGCAATTAAACCATTCAATCAGGTTTACACTTAAAAAAGTGATTTCAAAATGAAAATCTGATTTTTTTTTTCAAAAGTAACCAACTAGTACTTATTACAAGAGTACTTTGTACTTTTATCTAATATTAGTATTATTTACAAAAAATTGTGTTATTTTAGCATTGTAATAGTATTTTTCCTTGAGTACAAAAAAGATTTCACAATCATTAAGTGCAGGTTTATTATATTATTAATATATGATTAATAAATATTTTTAGTATTATTATTATTAATGGTTTTTATTTGTATTTATTCCTATGCAATGTTTTATGGGTTGCTGAGAATACATTTCAGGTCTTCAATACATAGCATGTCAATCTTGAAAAAAAAAAAATAGGTGCTGCAATTGATTTTCATTAGGCTGTGCCTGTATGAACCCTGTCATATGTACATTTAACATTTCAAGATTTGTCTAAAAGTGTATGAATATGACATATAGCCCATATTTATGAGGTCCAAGCAACATTTCCAGCTTTTGATGAATAGGCTATTATGAATACTTTAGATTTAAGTGCAGATGTTTTCTTTTTACTTTTTAAGAACAGCGCCATTTTTTTATGAACCTTTAAACATTTCAACTAAAATGTTTATTTATTTTTTTTACCTGCAAGCACAGTTAATGTTCAGACTATTTAAAATGTTTAAAGTGACTGACAATAATACATATTCTTAATAATAGGAATTAATCTGCATCGTTTTTAAACTGTGCACACCTGTAGCTGCTTAATTAGGCCCACGACACTATTTTTTAATACTGGTTAAAAAATAGCGTCGTAAGGTGGTACTTGGAGAGACAATTTTTTTCTAAGGTGGTACTTGGTGAAAAAAGTTTGAGAACCACTGAATTAGAGCACTCCGTGGACCAGAACGAATGGCATTTTTTTTGTGATTTGCTGGATTATATCCTCAGACGGATTAGATTTTACACTTCTTGGTCAGACCCTGAGATGGTTATTCAATATATAGCGAGCTGCCCATTAGTAATGGAACTGTATTTTGATTTTGGTGATGCATACAAACGTTACTGTAACTAAATATATTTTATTTTAAAACTTACACTGAAATGATTCTACTGTAGATACCATCTTGTGTTCAGATGCACAAAATCATTCAATTTGCAAACTCACAGCGCATTAGGGGTATCTTCTAGTTGTTGAGTGTACATGGGTTGTACACTCGTTATTGTGATGCACTGTGGGATGGATTGAGTCCACTTCAGAATGTTCACTATAGTTTATGACTAGAGATGCACCGATATGGATTTTTGGCCGATATTGATAACCGATAACTCTTACAATTTGGAGTCCGATAGCCAATATACTATAGGCGATATTTATATATTTTTAAAAATATACTTATATACAGCGAACAACTGTTTTCATTTAAAAACTTCATAAAAAAAAAGTTTTAACTGATTTTATGAGCTGACCAGCCTACTCAAAGCTATAATTTAAAAATTGCAAGGTGATTATATAGACCTATATTCATGATTTTATAGCATGCCGAAAATTACTTATTTACTTTTCTTCACATAGCAAATTAACTGATGTATAAAAACAATTGGTTAGATAACAAAATGGCACTTAATTGACAAAGAGGTTCAATAAATATGTCCTAAGTAAAATGAAAATGAAAGAAATAAGAACTGAAACCAGCTCAAATGTTCTTAAATTAAACGTGTTACAGTATTGTACATACGTACAAATATACAATGTCAGAAAAGGCGTTTTAAGAGGTGTTTTGACATTTCAGAGCCACCTTACAAGCGAAAAGCTAAATACAGATAGCATTACTTTAGGAATTGCTTTCGTCCTATTTGGCGTTTTAGATTCTTCTGTACACTTTTGTGCTGCTCGTCAATGCTTCTATGTTCGTTCTTGCTGTCAATTGCGGGGAAAATGATCGATGAAAGGTTTATGATAAACAGCTGTGAGTTTCAAACTAACTGAAGGAGCTGTATGAAGCGGAGTCAGATTAGAAAGCCAGATTTTGATACAACACTTGAGAATTGAGCACAGACGACTTTATGACAAACACATAGCATAATATAAAGACAGAATGTGACGAACGGTTGAGAACCCCTATGCTGGATTCAGTGACTGGCGCACCTCTCCCCAGCTGCTGTGAAGAGTATGAAGTTAAGGGGCTGAAGAGTTGGAAGAGGTGGGCCTGAGCGCGGTTTACTTGGGCTTTGGCGAGGTACGCTTGTGTGCGAGTGCAAAACACGCCAAAGCCCGAAACTGAAAGCGAGACGTGACTGTAAGGCACTGTTTCATATGCTTTTATTAATCATTCTTACTGTTAAGTGAACGCAAACTGCCGTAGTTTATTAAAGACGCAAACCCCTCACTGCACGACAGCTGCGCAGTGTGCACCTTCAGCAGACCTCCTCATTTCTGCAGGACGGGAGCATTATGATTGTTTATGAGCGCCAAAAGGGGCGGATCTGTTCGGCGAAATATCTGACTGCGTGTCACCGCATCCCTAAGGACTGTTTGGCGAAATATTTGACTGCATGTCACTGCATATCAAACGACTGAAACGATATAACTAGAGAAATCTCCACTGTGATGCTAAGTGAGAGAGCGCTTCTCACTGAACAGCACAGCAGCGATGACGTAAGCGTGCCGAGGCCCGTTTGTGGTGTGAGTGCGGGCCGTCGGGGGAGACGGGAGGGGGGGCAAGCGTGCTTTGGCCCGGTTCGAGACAACTATACTGTAGTGTGAGTACGGACTAAATCAGTAGCAAAACTCGGCTCACTATGTGTGTGCGCGCGTGTTAATAGCCTTCATGAGCGCTTGTTATATTCATTACAAATATGCAGATCAAACTGAATACAATCTTACATCAACAACACAAGGCAAGCAACGAGTTGATAAGACCAAATAAGCATATTGGATTACAAAAAACCCAACCTATTTCCTTTGATACTGTTATAAGCTAATTAGTCATGTTGAATCAATGAATGGAATTAAATCTAAAAGGTTATCCTGCAACTATAGGACAAAAGTCAGGTTATGTTTACTTATAATTATATTTTAATTTCGATATATTGCCCAGATCTAGTTTGAGCTCAAAAAGTTTCTACTCTAACCAAAATATCTCTTTAGTTACCTAAAATCAGTTAAGTAACCAATCCAAGATTAGCAAAGCTTAAGGGTTTGATTACCTTGCTCTGATTGAAGAGTCTCTGGTCATACTGAGCCTCACTAGAGGTGCGCGGGTTCGGCTGGCCGAGAGCAATGAGCTCACTGATGTCCCTGTCTTGGTCCCTCTGAAGCTTCGACCTGGACAGAGCAAAAACCACACTGACATTAGCCAACACCACAATAACACCTCATACAGACAGCCAGACAATTCATGCTACATTACACACGTCTCAAACTGAGTGTTCAGGGTATTCTCACACGAACATCTTTTGAGGAAAAAGCGTGAATAATTCAAGCGCTTACAACTACAGATAAAACCGCTTTAAACAACTGAATGAAAAGCTCGGTTTGAATACAGAACGTGTCAGTTTATTTCACTAAAAGGTGCCTGATGTAAAAACGGACACCTTTGGGACTTGTGTGAGATCAGAGGACAGAAAATAATGCAGAGTCATGCAAGTTAAAACGAAATGTGTGCACCAGTTGGACCGACCCATAAATGTTTTAAGGCAAGACTATAAAAAATGCATGCACCTCTTATCGGGGGCGGCTCTGGAGATGTTCCTGTCATGCTGCCTATCTTTCCTCCTATCGTGACGAATCTCATCACGCTCCCTGACTTCGGAGTCTTCACCACCTGAGACAAAACCAGACACATAAATGGTGATGTGACAGCATTATGAAGGTCTAGCACAAGGATCAGTTTAAAACCAAGGTCGATCTCAGCTTCAATGACTATTTCATGGCAAAAACAGATAAAACTTACAATATAAAACTTATTTATAAAACAAAACAACAAAAATCCATTAACCACAATAAATAACATACAAAAATTTTTAACAGTTTTTTTTAAGATCAACATTTGCCAAAACTGTAAAGGATTCAAGTACTGGTCTAAATACTATTATTTTCAGCTTAGAAGCTTTGGTAATAATGAATATCAAATATTCGAAGCTTCAGAAGGTGGGGTAAACATTTTTTCTCTTTAATAAAGGCAATAAACCCTGTCTGTCTGTTTTTTTTTTTTACGTCCAGAACTGTAATTCCAATCAACTTCATGTGTAGTGGGTGTGTACATTTGGACCTAAATACTTGTTATACTTCTGTGTTGAACAGGGCCGGATTAACAAATAGGCATTAAGCGATTCACGTCCATCACCGTTTGATTGACAGAGACAACATCACTAAAGAGCACAATAGATAGCAGCGTCAGTGGCGTAGCTCGTAAAGCGCATGGCAACATGTTTTGACGTGATCGATCCTGAACCGAATCCTTCGAATCCAGCATCTAATAAACTCTTCTTTTTTCCCCACTACATATCCGATTTTGCCTACTCCTCATCTCGAGGAAGGCAAGTAGGAATGATTAATAAGTGTGTGTATTATGGAGTATTTATTTTTTTTATTCTGCTTTAAATGCTTTAAAAATAAGTAAAATCTTTGTAGACTAGAAATATATGTACTGTACATCATTTATTTAAAAAAATTATCTTAATTTTTAATTCAACTACAGGGGTGCGGCTAGGTAGGGGGCCTACAAGACAATGTGCCAAGGGACCTCTGAATTCTTAATCCGGGCCTGGTGTTGAGTGATCGTTGTGACCCACGGCACAAGCCTTGCAAGCAGCCGTGCATTTATACTTTTGCGCGCGGATAACATCAATATCAGTGATACAGCACAAACATTTAATATCAAAGAGGTTTAGTATGTATTAATTAGATTTTAAACCTTACCATTTGGTCGGAATCCAGTAAGTGCGCTATTCTGTGCTTCTGAATGGTTGTGTTTTAATTTCTGTTGCGTTTCGTCTGGTGCAAACAGCCAAATTGCTTATAACTGCAAATTTTGTCACGTAGCATGTTATATAGGGTATTATATAGGATATAGGGTTGCAATGTAACCTGTTCAACTAATGTTTACATTCGTAATATTTATATTATTTGCTAATTAATAACCTAATGTGAAACTCTTATGTGGAGTCTGTTACTGCTCACCGGAGGTCGCATTTCAGTCAGGAATGCATACTTCGAGAGCCTTCCTGACTCAATAAATTAAATATGCAGTTTTTCACCATGTCAACCCAGGGTGCAAAAATATAAATGACTAAACTTTTATTGGACGGGCTAAAAGAACCAAAACCAAGATGGCCATTCCAGCACGGAAAGCACTTTTTTTTTTTATATCTGCAAACGTATTATGGTAGTTTTATGCTTTAGAAGAGTCAAAAACTTTCATACAGCACCTTTAAGCGTAAATGATTAATAAAAATGTAGCTGGCAATTTAAACATTGACTATCATGAATAAATACCACTTTCAGAAAATGCTGTTTGTAGTGTAAAAGGTAAAACTGAATACTGAAAATATTTATTTAACAATTTGAATGTCATTTTACAATATTAAAACTTGCAACCTTAAGGTTTAAATGATGACACCTGTGTGATCTCGAACTGTTTCTGAATAATACTTAAAATACATTCCCAATTCACTTTTTAAAACCTAGCCACTATGTTAGCATGGACTTGACATTAAATGAGTCTTTGGGTACCTTTATCACCGTGGGGTTTGATACCAGCTCTCCTGTCTCTGGCCATCTTAGCCAGCTCTCTCAGCTTCTCCTCTTTCTTTTCTTTTTCCTTCTGGGCCATCTTCTTTTCCACTTGAGCTCTCATCTCCACAGCCTCTCTGGCCTATTCAAAAATCACATAACCAACATTACCATACTCAGCCTTGTGCATACATCAGGTGAAAGTAAAACCATGTGAAGCTCTACAAAGATCATTTAATTAGGAACGGTTTGCATTATAAAAAGTCTGCATTCCAGACCATGAATTGCTTTCCAAATTTATTAAAAAGACGCCAAAATACTTTCACAGACTACATCTTGAGACAGATCAGTTGTTCAGACATTCTTCAGTCTTTTAGAATACTTTTCTACTTGTAAAAGTTAGTAAACTTAGCAATGTCTGTGAAAGTGTTAAGGGATGCGTAAACAAGAAGCGTACCTTTCTGTCTGCTATGTACAAAGCCTCGGCCAGTTTGGCAAAGTTTTCATTGATGTGGACGGTCTGGAGGCCTCGTCCGTCAGCCGCCAAACGCTTGTCTAGAGGAATGGTGTAACCCTGAGAAGTAACAAACGAGAGATGTGAGAAAGCAATGTGGGTTGTTTTCATGGTCAATATTTCGAACCGACAACAGACAGCTGAAAAATTAATGAAGGTTCGCCGATACCTTTGCGTTCTTCCAGTTGGAAATACAAGGAGGAATCTTCCATTCCTGCTGTTCTTTCACTGTCATCTACAAAAACACACACAAAAAGAAAAACAATGATGTTTTGAGGTCTGTTGGGATATTCTCAGAAATACTTCAAGACAGGCTTGTATGAATTCGGAGTGTAAACAAAGCTGATGACTATCGATGTTTGGGATCGATATTTGGAGGAAGCAAAACTCCCACCTTTCTGCTTGGAGAGTGCATGACTGGAGCAGGAGGGGAAGGAGGTCCACGAGGAATTTTCTTATTGATTCTGTAAGAAAACACGCACACAAAAAAACACAGAGTTTCTTGAGAGTTTCCCTTATAGATCAAACTTACTTAAAAACTGTGGATGAAAGCAACATACTTGAATCGAGGGGGTTCCATTGGATCTTTCTGCATTTCCACCATACGGATGACCCTCTGTTTTGCTCCAGAGTTAAATGCGAGACCTTGCTGAGAGGGTGTGTACCTTTAAGAAATATTAAAACAATTTGTTTTGACAAAACATTTTTGGATCTCAAACAACTGAAATACAGATTTGTTAACATCTTGGAGCGCAAAGACATCTACAGTGCATACGGAAAGTATTCATAGCGTTCCATTTTTTCCAAAACTTTTATGTTACAGCCTTATTCCAAAATGGATTAAATTAATTTATTTCCTCAAAATTCTACAGACAGTACTCCATAATGACAATGTGAAAAAAAGAGTTTTTGAAATTGTTGGAAATTTATTTGAAATAAAAAAAAAAAAAAACTGAAAAATCACATGCACATCAGTATTAACAGCCTTTGCTCAATACTTTGTTGATGCACCTTTGGCAACAATTACAGTCTCAAGTCTTTTTGAATATGATGCCACAAGCTTGGCACACCTGTCTTTGGGAATTTGTGCCCATGCCTCTTTGCAGTACCTCTCAAGCTCTATCAGGTTGGATGAGAAGCGACGGTGTACAGCCATTTTCAGATCTCTCCAGAGATGATCAATAGGATTTAGGTCTGGGCTCTGGCTGGGTCACTCAAGGACATTCACCAAGTTTTTGTGAAGTCACTATTTATTTTGGCGGTGTGCTTTGGGTCAACATCCTCCTGGAAGACAAACCGTCACCCCAGTCTGTGGTCAAAACCACTCTGAAGCAGGTTTTCATGCAGGATGTCTCTGTACATTGCTGCCTTCATCTTTCCCTCTATCCTGACTAATCTTCCAGTTCCTTCTGCTGAAAAACATCCCTACAGCATGATACTGCCACCACCATGTTTCATTGTAATGATGGTATTAGCCTGGTGATGAGCGGTGCCTGGTTTTCTCCAAACGTAACGCCTGGCATTCACTCCAAAGAGTTCAATTTTAGCCTCATCAGAGCAGAGAATTTTGTTTCTTATGGTCTGAGAGTCCTTTAGATGCCTTTAGGCAAATTCCAGATGGTGAGTGGCTTCCGTCTGGCCACTCTACCATACAGAGCTGACTTGTGGATTGCTGCACAGATGGTTGTCTTTCTGTAAGGTTCTCCTCTCTCCACAGAAGATCACTGGAGCTCAGACAGAGTGACCATCGGGTTAATGATCACATCCCTGACTAAGGCCCTTCTGCCTCAAGATAGCCGGCCAGCTCTAAGAAGAGTCCTGGTAGTTTCAATCTCCTTCCACTTACGGATGACGGAGGTCACTGTGCTCATTGGAGTATTCAGAGCAGCAGAAATTTTTCTGTAACCCTTCCCAGCCATGTGGCTAAAGACAATCCTGTCTCAGAGGTCTACAGACAATTCCTTTGTCTTCATGCTTGGTTTGTGCTTTGACATGCACGGTCAACCCTGGGACCTTATATAAACAGGTGTATGCCTTTTCAAATCATGTTTAATCAACTGAATTTACCACAGGTGAACTCCAATTAAGCTGCTGAAAGATCTCAAGAATAATCAGTGGAGCTAAATTTAGAGCTTCACCGCAAAAGCCTGGTTTATACTTCTGCGTCAAGTGACCGGCGAAACCATTGGCGCATGCAACGCCCATAGCTGTGCATTTATACTTCTGCGCGCTGTCACTGTTGGTCTGCATTAACACTTCCGAAACGCTAGTTGGCAGTGAGGTGTAAGTGTTCCTGTGTCGAGTTTCTTCGCTGCTGTTTTGCTTTTCCTGAACACTTCCTGGATGTACCAGTGGCTCAAACGCGCTCATTTTGAGGCAGGAACCGGCGGACGTGTAACAACTTTAACTATGAGGTAAACACAAAATAAAACTTTCCATCCGGAGCTCCTTCACGGGACTCCACACTTGTAAACAATCGCTCCATTGGGCTAGTGCCGCTCACACGGCTCTCGGTCCCGCCCAGACTCGTCAGCGCTACCAAGCCGACCAATCACAGAGCTTGTGCTACGTGTTGTTGTGCCATGTAGTTAAATTTTTTGAGAGGTGCACATCAGTGACGCTGCCGGCCACGGCGAAGGGCTATGCATCAACGCCGTAGCATACGCCGACGTTTGACGCAGAAGTATAAATCAGCCTAAAGGCCGTGTATACTTCTGTAGGTGGTTTTTCAGGCGTTTTATTTTTTAATAAATTTGCAACAATAAAAAAAAAAAACTTTTTCACATTGTCATTATAGGGTATTGTGTGTAGAATTTAGAAATTAAAGAAATTGTGTGGAAATAAATTAATTTAATCCATTTTGGAATAAGGCTGTAATATGTGGAAAAAAAATAGGAAAATGTGAAGCACTATGAATACTTTCCGGATGCACTGTATAAAGAAAAATACACTGCCTCCTTCAAATTTTCTCCATCAACAGTATATGCACCATAATCTCCATTACCAGAGAAAATAATTGTCTCTTCAGTCTTTTTATAGCTAAATTAATAAAAAAAAATAAGGGGTCAACTATTCCAACCTCATAAAGGAATCTGACAATTTAAACGCTCAAACAATAAACTGTTTTAACAGTACAAAAGTTTTCCAGAATTATTCATGCGTTTGCTTTAACAAAACCTTCAGCTTTTAATCACAGCTTTTTAACACTAGCTGATATGCTTTACTTTTTGAGAACAAGAAAGATGTTTATATATAGTATATTTTTTTAAAGTAAATGAACATCATACTGATAAAACAGCCTAACCAGTACTAAAACCAGAACATTTATTTAAATTCGACAATTTCACATCATTCACAAGTCAATCTTACCGAATGTATTGCGCGGGGGCCTGTTTATCTGCAGCACGCACAGGCATGGCTGCCGCGATTTTCTGTGAAACCTGTTTCTCCAGAGCTAATCTGGTCTTTTCTGTAAGCTACATCAGGGGTAAAAAGAAAAGTTAATTCATGCTGGTTCTGCGTAATGACCATTTAATTTCATGAGGATCGCTTGATTAAAACATAAATATTTCCATTATTAATTCTGTTTTAACACCACAGTACAAAAGAGTAATGCAAGTTAAGGATTTCAAGCCAGTGCATGTATATTTAGGGTTTCAGCAGGTTTCTTTAAGTGTAATTTAAGACTTTTTAAGACCCTTTCAAGGCCAATATGAGTGAAATTTCAGCCTTATAGGGACTTTTTCTAATAGCCTGGTTACTTCTGTAAATAGTTATTATATTAATGGAAGATCATGTAAAGGGATGTGTTGCATTAGTTTTCATTCCCTGATTAGGAAATGTAATTTGGAGAATTTGCTGTAAAAATGTCTAGAAGCTGTTGTGAATTGTATAATTTTGCAATAAAATGCTTAAATATAAACAAAATAGTTTTAAGATGGATTATTGGGTGTCAGTCCGTTAGGGTAGCTTTACTTGGACACAGGAAAATTAAGACCGGTTTGAAATGATTTAAGACCTATGCCACTATATTTTAGTGAATTTAAGACTTTTAAGGGCTAAATTTCTGCTTTTAAAAGTATTAAGACTTTTAAAACCCTGCAGACACCCTGATATTAGACACTAGTGTGTAAATGAAGACTAACAAACCTAATGTTAATTGAATCAAACAACACTGATAGAAAATTGTTAAGCTTTCTTATTATTCAAAGTTCACTTCAGTAACTTACGAAAAATGTTAACATTTACATAATTTCAAAATGACATGCATTAATTGTGTAAATATTTAATTATAGTATTTAATTTTCAAACAAAAGGGTACATTATAGCAGTCTTAAGCATGATTGTGAAACTGAAACAAAATTGTGAGATCTATCGGAAACTGCTACTGAATTGTAATCTTACCTCTCTCACTGCCTCTTCATCTGGTTTCTGCAGCTCTGGATCATCTTGGTTTAGCACTTCCTTAGGAAGCATGTCTGTGTATTTACTAAATATGACCTATTCAAAAAAACAAAAAAATTATGAAAACAAATCATATCCTTAGGTAAGAGCCACTGAACATATGAATAAAATATGAAATAACACAAGAGGATCAGGTACCTTGTCTTTGCTTTGGCCTTGTCTAGCAATAGCATCATATTTGATCTTGCCCTCTGCATCCACCTGCACTGCCAGAGCATTGGATGTTCTTTTCTTCCTACCCATTTCCAGAGGATACTGGGCAACATGGATCTCTGGAAAAGCTCCTCCATCTCCAAAGTCCTTTAAAAGAAATATCATTCATTTATTTTCCTTCAGTGTAGTCTCTTATTTATCAGGGGTCACCACCGCAGAATGACAAGCCAAAAGAAATATCATAACACTTATTATTACTGTTTGTTAATTCACAGTAAAATTATAACATCAGAATACAACTATTCATAATTCTTAAGTTGAATTATTATGTTTGAGACATGTGCTTGCCATTTGTCATTGACAACATCATTAGAACATTTTTACTGGTAAAATGAGACATTTGTCATTATCAGACTCCTTCTTGCATTATATTTATCATTATATAGGCTAGGGTAGTTATCCTGACATAGCAAACATTCATTTTCATGCACAACACTTTGTGTCCACTATGAAAGAAAAAAAAGATATCAAATGTTTGTTGTAATCAGAACTGTAACATAAACACGTTATGATTATTTAAATGATGTGCACGCCGGCTTCACTTTCACTTCCGCGTGCAGCTAATGACTGCAGTCACTCTGAAAAATAAATACACACATACAAATCGTTCTTTCAGCACGACTCTCAAACGATCGTTCTGTGCAACAAACGAAACGTTATTTACAACTTTATTACATGTTTTTCACAAGCGGCAACCTTCCGCTCTCCCTCAGGAAGCCAATACGGAAGTAACTAAAACTGCAATTCATCCGATCCAATTCTCCTGGCTCCAAAATAGAGCAAATTTCAATTGAGCCCACTGTTAGAATGGCCAACTTTAGAGCAGAAAAAAAGGTGTTTACAGCCTGGTACAAAAAAGATTTTGGTTAATACAGCTAATACTACCCTTCATGACAACTGTGAGGGGGGTGAATTTTTTTATAACTCATCCGTTTCCTTTATATTAGGTTATATTAAGTTTGCATAATTAAGGGCGTGGCCACTTGAGTGACAGCTAGGTCGCGTTGGTCGCCGTCAGGTCACCCCAGCTGAATCCTGCAGATTAGCATCTGAACGCAGCATATTTATCGTATTTCTGTGTTGTTTTATGTGGCTTTACACAGTCAACTGCCTTTTGGACTTGTTTCCTACAATTATTAGATGGCATGGCATGCTGAGTGCACTTAATTGTGCTCATAAACCATTCACGTGGCCTCCGTTTCCCATGTGAGTAAAGTTATATACTTATATAACATCTCTATACATGTACTTGTTTTATTTAAGATCATTTATCATTTATATTTAGAGCTGTAATGCACTCCAGAATCTGAAGAATTGATTAGCTGTAGGCTCTAGAACAGTCATCTGAAGCATTGTCATACAGTGTTATGCTGGATTTCATCAATAGTCTTACATTAACTAACACAGACTATATCTGAAGTGTTTGGAAGTAATTTGCGTTTTCCTCCTGTTGAAACACGCCATAAGAACAATGTTTAGTGGCTCAGTGTATTACAGCAGTGTTTTTAAAAGTCTAAACACTTTATTGATATAGTATACAACCAAGCACATGTGGTCAGAATACAAACGAGTCACAGGTGATGAAGTATTAAGCGTTCTCCCAAAGTAAAGTGTGTCTGAACCAGGTCCAAGCTAAATGCCAGCACGTGTCTGTAGCTCTGCTTACTCTCCGCCTCTTTGCCCTTGTTGGGTATCTTGCCGTGAGTGTGATGACGTGCGAACAAAATGGCGACGCCTACTTGTGGCTTCTTTTGCACGCTTTAGAAACCTATGGGCGACGTCACGGACACTATGTCCATATAATTTACAGTCTACGGTTTTTCACAGCCTATGCAGGTTCTGTTAACTATAGTAGGAGTCACTGGCGTGCACATGCATGTTCTCTGTAGTAAACAAACAGGTTGCGGTCATTACATCATTACATTTCAACAGTAATGACATTTCTGGGTGAATTATACCTTATAAATACAGTATGTGACACTTTTAACACCGTTTGAAGGTGTCAACGTTGCTGTGAAGGCTTGTGCGACTGCCTTTACGCTTCTGTCCTGACCTTGAATTGGCTGAATCTTAGAAAAGCTGAATTAAGATCGTGTGTAGGGTCGAATCGAGATAATGATCTTTTTTCGATTAATCGTGCAGCCGTGATCAGGCCCACTTGCAACCACACTTTCTAAATACACTGGATATGTCATGTGGGCTTATCACTTGACTATTTACAAATGCGGGTATTGGAACAAGCCCATAATGCAGCAAGATATATGACAGCTATCAGCACGTAATGTTTAATTGTTAGTACCTCTAGAGCCCGGGGTACCCATGACTTTCTGAAGCCGTAAGGAGGAGGGTCTCTGCGGGTGGAGACCAAAGCAGTGGACTGGGATCTGTATGCCTGAGACCTCTCCTCTGCCTCCAGCTGGTCCTGGGACAGTTGGGTGGGCGCAGGAAGAAAACTAAAAGAGAATGGGGAAAAGAGCCAAGTCAGATTAAGGGATGTGCAATCTAATAATTTCTTTTAAAAGTCTATCCTATGTGGTGTCACAAAATACATTATTAACAGTAATACTTTTTCAGAATTTTAATGATTTTATGTTTTTTATTTTATTTTAATATTACGCTACATTATGAGGATGTGGACAAAAACATGAATAACAGCACTGTGTGAAAGTTGCAATCTTAAAAAAAAATCTAAAAATATTTCAATTTTATTATTTGAGATGTATTTTTGAAATGTTTTGCCTTTATTAAACAGTAAATCAGAATGACAGGAAGATAAGTGAGAGAGAAGTTCAGGAAAGGTCCACAAGCCTCGAACTCGGGACACCATGAGCACTGTACACTAAACCACTGGGCAATTTTTAGTTTATATTTATACATTCATCATGACGTTATGAATAAAGTAAAGAAAATGATGACTTATGATGAAGTTTGATTTTTGTCTAATGGCCCAGCCCTAGCCAGGATGACATATTATTAAACCATCAGCTAACAATTGAGGTAAGGTTTGTTTTATATTCACACATTCAGACTTTCTCCTTAATAATACAATTTTAGAAAAGTATTCTTTGCAAACTCTACATAAGAAACCATATAAGCCAAGCAATCACGGACTATCAAGGTATACCATTGCACAATCAAAATAAATTGTGCTAACGTTGCTTTCGAGTCATACTTGTATATGATTTAAGACGGAATATTCAAAGTATCATGATAAACAATATAGGGAGCATGTCATAAGTTGACACTAAACAGAATGTGCGTATATAAAACCAACTTTACTGCAATGTAGATGCAAAATTCAACCTGTATCCATTGGAACGTGGGTGATTGATGTTGAAACAGTGGCTCGATCTCACGTGAAAACATTATTGCATTAATAGACTAACGTTATTCGAATGGCCTCAATTGTAACATTACGTCAAAAAAAAAAAAACTAAGTTACCTAACGTGAAGCATTAAGAGCCACAAACACAGCCGTCTCTTGGGGGTCAGCAGTGCTATGAGTGTGTTAGAATAGTGTATATGTACACTGATAAATTATATTGCTACGACGATGATAAATAACGTTAGCCTAACGTTACACATTACATCCAGGAATAAATATATATTTTTAAAGCTATAAATAACTTTTATATAAGCAATTATAATAAATAAAAACATAATAATGAGATATTCAAAGTTCATTTATCTTTTAAATATGTTATTATTTTGCTTTTGCTGTGGCTGTAGCTTTAGCTTAGCATTCACTATAATACAAAGACCACACAACAGCAGGCCTCATCGTCTCATATAACACAACTCGGGTAATAACTAACACAGATTTTTCACAAACTGTAAATGTACACACATAAAAACACACGTACGCTTTTAAGTTAAGTTTCAACACATAAATCGAAGCATAAAACCTTAAAAACAGCTTCTCTGCGTCTTACCTTGTAAGCGACATCTTGGATTCTGTGCGTTCTGACGTCACTCTACTGTCTCATAACTTCTCGCGATGTTTAGAGAACTTAGGGATTAAGCGCTGTCAAAACTGTATAAAGAGAATAATATACAGTGTAGCGTTTTATAGGCTTTATATGTATCGAATATATCTATACATTCTATATATACCTATCTAAACTATAAAGTATAGACTATACATTAGCCTATCTTCAATCTTCTGACACCACATATCATGTGGAAATACCACGTATGGCAAGCCGTTTAATATTTAACCTATACGCGTACTAGTATATTATTATGTTACTAGTGATTATTTTTAGATACTAGTATCTTTTCTTTTAACTTTATTAGATACTAGTGCCTATTCTTTAGATAATTGTGCCTACCCTGTAGAAAAATCCAGCTTAAACCAGCCTAGGCTGGTTTTAGCTGGTCGACCAGCCTGGTTTAGAGGGGTTTTGGCCATTTCCAGGCTGGCTTCCAGCCATTTCCAGCCTGGTTTTAGCTGGTCAGGCTGGGAAATGACCAGCTAAAACCAGCTTGACCAGTCTAGCCAGGCTGGGAGTCCAGCCAAAACCAGCTATGTCCAGTTTAAACCAGGCTGGTATTAGCTGAATTTAACTGGTCATTTTCCAGCCTGACCAGCAAAGACCAGGCTCGAAATTACTGGAAACCAGCCTGGAAATGGCCAAAACCCCTCTAAAGCCTCTTTTCCCTGTGTTTATTACCAATCCAGAATCCTAAAATCTATGCTACATAATTGCACCTTACAGAATCTATTATACAAAATCTTGTCTTGGTGACAGCATTGACAGCCTCATGAGAGCTTGTATTTCATTTAAACTTGGGGGGAAAGCATTGATATGGCTATAAAACAGTTCAGATATGGCTATAAAACAGATTAGAGATGTGTTAATATCACTTCCTCAGCTAATATCTCTTTCCCATTCATCTGCATTAGCTTTCCAGGATATTTCACTGGTTGAAGACAGATTGTGTGTTAATTCACAGGGCTGCCGAGCTGTGTGCGTATAGCCTTAGAATACTGATGTGTTAGACTCTTAGACCCTGTGTTAGCCCTCAGCAATAAGACATATGCAAAGAAGACAGTTACTATTATCTGAGCAAAATGGCCACAAGGGACTTTACGAGCCCTGCCAAATGTTAGATTCCATTTAAAACTATTCACATGTTCTGAAGACCCGCTTTTCAGCTTGACAGACAACTTCTTTCTTTAAAGATAATGGCTCATTTGTAGATGTTTATTTCACACCACAGAGTATTGAAAAAGACTGTAGATGTACTTAATCAAATATCGTAAAGCTAATTATTCTGAATTCACTCATTGACTGTTGTGTCTCAGTACAATGCATAAATGTGTGCTCTGTAAAGCCTGAAAGGATTAGTTCAAATCAAATCACTTTTATTGTCACATCAGCAGCAGCACGTGTGCTATGATGAGTAAAAAGCTTAGGTGCTGGCTGCCGACTGACTCCAAAACAACAGTTTAGTTCACCCAAATATGACAACTCTGGTAATACTTATGCACACTCATAGATATGTACACTGGATGTCGCCTGGCCTATTGTTGTCAATTGAAAGGAATGCGTCAATGGCGCCGCCATCTTGCTACAGGGTAGCGCTCCTTTGAAATGAATGCGCGACCAAGGTACAGTGGAGGACTGTGGCCATCCAAAGCCAGAGATATACACATATACCAAATATCTATGATCGGGAGTTTCCTGAATGTTAGTATGTAATTTTTTTTCTAATTGCGAAAATTATAATTTTACATCACTTTTCTACATTGATGTCTCAGTGACCGCACGGGCATTCCTGACAAAAAGCTTGTATTTGTGTGTACAGAAATGTAATATCCACCCTCCCTGTTAAATTTGATCTAATCCGTGTCCTGAAACACAGCTCCTCTCCTGCTTTCACTTCTCATACTGACAGAGGAAGCGATTCGTTTGTGAATTAATCCCCCTGAACGACTCTTTCACTAACATTAGCTGACAATAATACAAGTTTCTGGCAGCGCAGCATCTCGTTGTCATATTTCTTTTGCATTGTTTGCTGATATTATTCAACAAAACTATCATAAACCGAGTGTTTAGTGCGAGTGGGAGCTGCTTTGCCGTATGGTGAATGCAGTAAGTGACTGTTATCATCAATAACGTTACCTGATTAGCACAAAAGTTCAGAAAATACAAAAACAGAAAAAAACTTAATATTACCTATGAAATGTTCTGCCTTTGTGCTTTGTTTTCTTTTTTTGCTCGTTACTACACCCGTAGACAGCGCTAAAGTCCCGCATCTTCACGTAATAACACTGTCTTGACTAGTGCGGTTGAATGACATTTGTCCTGGGAGTACTGTACCAATGTGGCGGCGCTATTGACGCATGTTCAGGGTCCTTATGCAATATCTAGTGTATATATCTATGATGCACACTCATGTCATTTCAATTCTGTGAGACTTTTGTTCATCTTCAGAACACAAATTAACACATTTTAGATAATGTGGAGAAAAAGGAATGTATTTTTTATTACTTTTGTTTCTTTATTTTTATTAGAAAAATGTTTAGACTAACAACAATTTAATATTTTTTTCTTTTGTATGATACCATATATTAACCAGGCATACTTTTTTTTTTACTGAGCTGCATAATTTTTTATAAGGAACTGCTGACAATAGCTGAATAAGAATAAACATAGTACGGGGGCCCTTGTTCCAGACTGCAGTCCAATAAGAAGTCTAGACATGTCACAAGGAGCATGATGCTTGTAAAAGTTGTGAAATATATTGAAGATGTGCTTAATTGTTCAGTTCTGGTATGCAGAAAAGGGTTGCAGAAAGAGGAAGTATGTCTGGGTGCAACACTCAAAGGACTGCAGAATGACTGATAAGTGCAGCCTGATCTCACGGGAAAATGTAAGTATTTTACGTTTTGCCAGTTTAGTGGCTAATTCGTACAAGCTCAGTTGTACGAAATTGTACGATTTTAAAAAGGAGGCGTGACACCTAACCCCACCCCTAAACCCAACCGTCATTTGGGGATGAGCAAATCGTACTAAATTGTGCGAATTAGCCACTAAATCAAAAAGTTACGAATTGCTGTGAGATTGTGTTGGATAAGTGACATTACACCAAAACTCCATCTGTTAATATTAGTTGTGTATATATATACTGGATTCAGGGAAATGTATGTTAGTTGCGAAGCTCTTGAATGTAATTCTTGTATTGCATTGGGGTAACGTAACCCAGAGCTCTGTCATCAAATTATTAATTTGTATCTAATATATTACTTACATTTTTGGCATTGAAGAAAACCCTCTCCAGACATTTTCTTATTGAATACGCATGGAATTTGCTCGATATTCCAACAATGATATCTGAGAACAAAAAAAGTCAAATCATTCCATGTGACTTCAGTGGTTCAACTGTAATCATAAGAAGCTCCAATAACACATTTGTGCACGGGATTTTCACTTTTGGATGATTTATTGGATGAATGTAAACTAGCGTGAACTTAAAAATTATTGTCCAGTTTTTAATTGTTTGAATGTACTAATTGTTAATTCCAGCCTGTCCATTCTTTTTAAACTAAACCCACTACAATTTCTGAGATCAAATTAATTTTTGCGTCATTGTAAAATTGCCACTTTGGTGGAAAATGGATTGACCTGCATCTTAGAACAGGTCTCATTATTTGGAGTTATTCTGAAAGTCCAGCTCTGGCTTTTGTTTATGTAAGGGTCCGTCTATTAGTCATATGACAGATCTAACAGCATGGATGAGGTTAAGGGCCTACTCACACTATGCTATCCGTACCGTGCCCAGGCCCGTTTCCCGGATAGTTTGAGAAGTGTGAGTGCGCTAAATCAGGCTCAAGCACGGGTCACTTGGCCGGCCCTGGCCCTGTTGGAAGAGGTGTGCCTGACCACGGTTCACTTGGGCTATGGCGCGGTACGCTTGTGTGTGAGTGCAAAACGTGCCAAAGCCCGAAACTGTAAACGAGACATGACTTTTAATGGACTGTTTCATTTGGATTTATTAATCATTCTTACTGTTCAGTTAACGCCGTAGTTTATTAAATATGCAAACCCCTCACTGCACGACAGCTGCGCACCTTCAGCAAACCTCCTAATTTCTGCTGCACGAGGGCTTTATGATTGTTTATGAGTGGCGGATCTGTTCGGCGAAATATCTGACTGTGTGTTACCGCACCCCTAAGGAATAAAGCGATATAACTAAAGAAATCTCCACTGTGCTGAGCGAGAGCGCTGAACAGCGCAGCATCGATGACGTAAGTGTGCCCAGGCCCGATTGTAATGTGAGTGCGGGTCATCGGGGGAGACGGGAGGGGGACAAGCATGCTTTGGCCCGGTTCGAGGCAACTGTACATAGTGCGAGTACAGCCTAAATGCGCGTAAGCCTTCTCTTGCACAGCTGTAGACAAATTATTAAAAATTCTTAAACTTTTAGTTTCATGAGTCCAAGTTTTTACCCTTCTGACTCCAATTTATGATAATTTAAATTTAGATTAATCTATTTCAACCTGATCACCTTATAGGTTGTGATTTAGTGTAATTTCGGTTAACCTAATCATTACTTATTTTACAGTTAATGGTTTATCGTTTACCTAAAGTCGCTTAGGGCGAGGCAGTGGTGCAGTAGGTAGTGCTGTCGCCTCACAGCAAGAAGGTTGCTGGGTCGCTGGTTCGAACCTCGGTTCAGTTGGCGTTTCTGTGTGGAGTTTGCATGCTCTCCCTGCCTTCGTGTGGATTTTGTCTGGGTGCTCAAGTTTCCCCCACAGTCCAAAGACATGTACCTAATTGGGCAGGCTAAATTGTCCATAGTGTATGAGTGTGTGTGTGTGGATGTTTCCCAGAGATGGGTTGCGGCTGGAAGGGCATCCGCTGCGTAAAAACTTGCTGGATAAGTTGGCGGTTCATTCTGCTGTGGCAACCCCGGATTAATAAAGGGACTAAGCCGACAAGAAAATGAATG